AAACATCGATCAGCTGCCTCCTGCACACCCCCTACTAGGGATGTACCCACAACCAAGGTACATGCCCTTGACTGGAATTGAACCTGGGACCCTTCAGTCCGCAGGACGACGCTCTATTCACTGAGCCAAACCGGTAAGAGCAACAGCACTTTTTTTAAAAAAAGCCTAGAAAGGTAAATACACACACACGCACACACACAGTAAGCTAATGTTTATCCCTGGACTGGAAGCAGCCTTAAACATTTCTGTATCCCTCAGGGTATTTGGCATACTGCCCTTCATTTAACAAGGGTTCAGTAAGTACATATGATGGAATATGGAGAGCTGTCTTTATTTTAACAATCTGGCAAAGGAGAAAGAATTTAGAAAAAGAATATTTACTGCTGTCTATCATGTACCAAACACTGTATTGGGCACTTCATTTATGTTATTTCATTTAATTTTCACAGCCACCTTGTGAGGTACATATTAATAATACCAAAACCAGGAGTTGATTTTCATTTTCTAAGTATCATATGATAAATCTAAACTTAAAAAATAAGCAATGCATCCAACATTTGGCAGAGTTTTCTTATTTCATGTTAAAAGGAAATAATCATGTGAATCCTACAAGGGTATTTTTAAAAAACCAAAACCTGTATTGACATGAAAAGAAAATGTACAAAGAAAAATACAAATGGCCAATAAATAAATTTTTTGAATTTTCAACCTGGCAACTAATTTTTTAAGATCTAATAAAAAACAATAATGCTGACCAGATTGGCCAAAATAATAAACATTTTTTAACTGGTAACTTTTCCTTTAGTCAAATCAGCATATTTCCTTTACACCCTCCATAGGTGTGGCACACTCGCTCCTATCAATGACATGTATCATCACCCCCAGTGATTCCCAAGGGGCATATAAGACAGTGTCCTAAGAAAATTATCAAAAATTTTCATAAGGGTTCACATTAAGAGATTATCATTTGCCATGATGTCTACAATACAGAAAAAGGAAAAACCACATGAGGTACAGGGCACTGAAGTTCTGCTTGAAAATGGCTAACCAAACACACATGTTTACCTTCATTCCCACCTTAAAAGCCACTGAAATAAGCAAATAAATATAAAAAATAAGTCCAGAGCAGCCCTGGCAACGTAGCTGCTGCAGCAGTAAAGAATTCCAAAGAGTTATGAAGCAGGTTAAGATCCAATGGATGGACCCTGGCCGAATAGAGCATCATCCACATACAAGAACCAACCAATAAATGCATAAATAAATGGAATAACAAATCAACGCTTCCTTCTCTCTTCCTCTCTCTCATCAATCAATAAATAAAGAATTTTTTTAAAAAAAGAAGATCCAATAGATGGTAAAACGCAACAGAGCTGAAGAACAAACAACTTCATATAGGAAAATAAAGAGCTCTCTCCCAAAATATATATTTTCCCAGAAGAACCCTTCAAAAATAATAAAACTATAGGTAGCAGGAACTAAGAAAAGAAATGGCTAATAATAAACAACATACTTGGAGAGCTGTAAAGCACCATTACCCATGCCCACTGCCTACACTTTTTCAGCAGGACTAATGCCAGCATTTATCCAGTCCTGACTCTCTAAAATGATAGTTTGGACAGGGAACACTATCCAGTAACATTTCTCCAGAGAAGTGAAGAAAGGTGACAATTATTTATGGCTTCCATGAGAAATAGGGAGTCCCACCAGAGAGCTAATGACCCACACAGTATACAGAAAAACACTGCATTCTGGGCAAGGAGGTAGCATAAGCAAGGAGATCACATTTGAAACAATTTTATGGGGAACTCTACATTCCAGAGCATAGTGTTTGAGGCAAACACAGAAAGGATGTGAGGCTGGAGAGGTAGATAAGCAGAGAACATACCAGAAAGTCTGATAGGCCATATAAGGGAATTCAGACTTTTCTCCTCCTGTCAGCTTGAGAGCACCACTGCAGGCTTTCAAGCAGGTCAGTGGTAAGTACAAAATCAGGCCCAATTGGCATGGTTCAGTGGTTGAGCATTGACCTATGAACCAGGAGGTCACGATTTCATTCCCGATCAGGGCACATGCCCAGGTTGCAGGCTTGATCCCCAGTAGGCGTGCAGGAGGCAGCTGATCAATGATTCTCTCTCATCATTGATGTTTCTATCTCTCTCTCCCTCTATCTTCCTCTCTGAAATCAATAAAAATATTCTTTAAAAAATCCAAAATCAGATTTTATATCATACTAGCAACTGTAGGATATATATATATGTGAGTTTGATAATACCCAACGATCTACTTTAGGAGTCAGGGTGGGTGATAGAAACACTAAGACCTTTTTTTTTTTTCATTAAGGAGGAGGAGCAAGTTAGAGGAAACTATGCTGTGCTCCACATTACATATGCTGAATGTAAGGCACCTGTAAATAATCAGGTGTAGATTTCCACCAGGTTATTAAGAATGAGCCAGAAATGTGTAGGGAAAAAGAGAGGAAGAATTTAGAAATTTAGAAAAACATCTACATATTAGTAGAATTGAAACTCTGGGCACAATTGAGACAATGACCTAAGATAACAGTTGGCCAGCCAAGAAGTCAAACTCAGGTTAACAGCAGTGGGTAAGGAGTAAGTGGATCAAGATGAGCCCACACAGGATGCAGAGAAAGAAATGTAAAAGGAGGAATGGACAACCAGGATGCTAAGGGAACATACAGTTTCAAGGAGATAGTGATTAATGGTGTCCAATGCAACAGAAAAGTCAAGTAAAATTATAATTGACTGAAGACATTAGATGCAGAACACAAGAGGTCACAGGCAATTTCAGCAAAAACAGTTTAGTAAGGGTGGGAAGCCAGAGAGAAAGAGCTACTAGTAAAATCTGAGGAGAAAAGGATAGACTATATATAAAAAGGAGGAGAAGGTTAGGTAGCTAGGAAAGGAATGAACAAGTGGTTCAAAGAACATTTTCTAGGATGAGAATCTTAGGAATAAAATAATGGGCAGAGAAAAACAAAGAAGTCACAGCAAAATTCTAAGGATGGCCCTAGCTGGCTTGGCTCAGTAGATAGAGCATCGGCCTGCGGACTGAAGGGTTGGGGGCTCGATCCCCAGTAGGGGGCATGCAGAAGGCAGCTAATCAATGATTCTCTCTCATCGTTGATGTTTCTATCTCTCTTTCCCTCTCCCTTCCTCTCTAAAATCAATAAAAATATATTTTAAAAAATTCTAAGGATGCAGCAAGGTTACTGAAGACTCAGCATTACCAACATTTTGGACCAGGTAAGTCTCTGCTGTGGGGTTGCACTGTGCATTGTAAGATGCTTATCAGCAGCATCCCTGGCCTCTACTCGCCAAATGCCAGTAGCACATACACCATCACCACCCAGTTGTGACAACAAAAAATGTCTCCAGATACTGCCAAATGTCCCCTGGGTAGCAAAACCACCCCCAGTTGAGAAACATTGGGATACACAATGGGGAGGAAGAGGGAATAACTGATGGGAAAAGATGCCAATGCAGCAGCACTGATGCTGAGGGTACTGGGCAAGGGACTGGCTTCGAACAGCAGCAGAAGCACCTCATCCTCTGAGACAGAAGGAAAGAAAAGCTCTGGGAAAGAGGAACTGATAAATTTGTGCATGGAAGCAGAACCTGCAGAAAATCAGCCAGAAGGCCTTCAGTGTTCTCAGTGAAGTAGAGGCAAGGCTGTATGCTAAATAGGAGTGGTGATGATTCAGTGGCAGGTTTGAGAACAGTGGCTAGGATTTGTAACAATAACAGGGACTGACAGCTGGTATGTAAAACCACAAAAGACCTACTGAGGTTGGAAACCACCATACTCCCTTTTCTTACTGGGAATGTTAAAACATACCTCCCCACAGAAATCATCTTTTAAATACTGATTACAATCCTAAAGGGTCTATATGAATTTCAACTACATAATGGGCTCCTGTGGGTTACCTGGGAAACTAACCCATTTTTTAAATAACATAGTTCCTATCAGAAAATATGAACTTTTCTACATAATTAATGTCTAAATGAACTTTTGGTAAGTAATCTGTTGAAGTTAGAAGATGCCTGTGGTTGCAACTGCTTCCTGGTTCTTAACTGGATGAACTACTACTTCCTGACCAATAGTCAGGAAAATTAGAGTAGAAAGGAGTGGCTGTAAAGACAAGAAGCTTATTAAATGAGATTCTTCACAGGACAAAGACCTGCTTACTCCTGCCCTCTAAACCAAGGGCTGCAAACTCAAATAATTATGGGACCAGAAAACCAAATCAATTGCCTCAAGTCCGTGCATGGGAAAGAAGCTGGAAGTGAACCACCAGCATGAAGCCAAGAGATACAAAGGGCTGTCCTTGGGTAAATAAGGGGGGGAAAATGCTACATAGCGGCCCAGGGCTGTGCATAGGAGTGATCAAAGCAAAAGGGGAACCCAAGTCTTTGCTTTACCACAGATATGGAGTCCAAATTCACACCACTCTCAGGATGTCAGAAACCCATCTGAGAACAGATAAGATACACTTCAGAAGTAGTGAACCCAAAGGGTCCCTCCCATCAGAGATAAATGCAAAGCCATCCAAAAGAACATTCTGCAAACCAGGCACCATCACACAATTCCCAAATTGTCAGATGTTGCAAACCACAAAAGAAACAAGCAAAATATGGAGGGAGGGAGGAGAGGGAATGGGAGATTTCATTCCTCAAGAACTACAGCTAAGAATATAATCCAAATATAACTCTATTTTTAAATGTTCACAGCATACGAACATTTGAAAATGAAAATGCAGTCTTGAAAAAAAACACTGAAATTTTTACATTTAAAAATATAGTCAAATGTTTTTAGTGAGAATTCTCAATAAATGGATTAGACAATAGACTAGACACAGCTAAAGAGAAATTAGTGAATTGTAAGATGGGTGTCAGGAAATCACCCAGAAGTAAAAATAAAAAATATTAAAAGAAAATTTAAGCAATACAGTGGAAGATACAATGAAAAACTCTAACACATACCTAAATAATGGTTCCAGATACGGAAAATGGAGAAGTGTTATTTTAAATGATGAGTAGGATAGTTTTCCACAATTGAAGATGATGCAAGTCTTCAGGCTGAAGGGAGCACACCAAATAAAAGCAGCATAAATAAATCCATATCTAGAGATATTGCAAAGAAACTGCAGAAGATAAAAAACAAGGAAACATCTTAAATGCAGCCCAAGAGAAGAGATAATTACCTATGTACAAAGAAATTACATTTGAACTGACTAAAGACCACTCATTACCAAGGCTTGTCAAAATGTTAGCAAAAGAGAAAGGAGGTAGGCCTGGCGAAGTTGTGGCTCATGGCTCAGTGGTAGAGCATCAGCCTGCACACTGAAGAGTGCTGGGTTCCTGGTCAAAGGCACCTGGGTTGCAGGTTCTTCCCCCTGCCACAGTCAGGGTGCGTGCAGGAGGCAACCAGTTAATGTGTCTCTCATATCGATGTTTCTCTCTCTCTCCCTCCACACTCTCTTTTAAAAAAAAATCAATGGAAATCTGGTGAGGATTAGCAAAAAGAGGAAGAGAGAGATGGGAGCAAGACTGGCTTGGCCTGATTGAGTCTGGAAATTATAATCCATCCCCCTGCTCCCACTCCCCAGGGCGGAAGGACTAGCTTTCTAATCTCTCCAGGGAACCACCAGTCTGCTCCCCACAGATTATCTGGAGAAGGGGAAGGGGAGATGGGGAAGAACCTGTAAAGGGGAAATTACTCTGCTGGGTGCATGTGCACTATGAGCCAAGATGATGACCATTGATAACCATAAAGGGGAAGTATCTAATCTGGAAAAATAGGCCAGATTGGATAGAGGGAGGACTCAACACAAATCTATGAAGAGCCAGAAAAGAGATTGTTTAATTTGAAAGAAAGGTTACCCCTTCCCAACCCTGAGGTAATATAATCAAAGCTTGCCGAAACCGGTTTGGCTCAGTGGATAGAGCGTCGGCCTGCAGACTGAAGGGTCCCAGGTTCGATTCCGGTCGGGGGCATGTGCCTGGGTTGCGGGCACGTCCCCAGTGGGAGATGTGCAGGAGGCGGCTGATCGATGTTTCTCTCTCATCGATGTTTCTAACTCTCTATCTCTCTCCCTTCCTCTCTGTAAAAAATCAATAAAATATATATATAAAAAAAAAATATATATATAATCAAAGCTTAACCACGGCTGTCTGGGTGGCACAAGGTACCTGTTCATTCACCTGTTTGCACATGCTCTCTCTCCATAGCAGCTGTGCAGCTCCAAGTGCAGGTCTGTTGTAGCTGTGTAGGCTGGCAGTGTAAGGGGTCCAAGCTTGGGTGGGCTACAAGTTCAGGTCTGGGTGCAGCAGTGCAGTGCCAGTGGAACACAGCCAGGAACAGAGACTAAGCTATCCAGACAAGAGCAGAGACTGAGCCGGACTAACCTTTGGCATGAACTCAACTGAACTACGAAAGTCTCTCTGATGCCCTGCCAATACCGGGTAATGGCGTAATATCTCTGGACCCTGACCCTTCTTCTCACCTTGGTGAAGACAAGGCAGGGCTTCTTCCACAGTGGGACAGAGCTGAGCCACCTGGTCGTGAATGAGACACTGAGCACCTGGGGACAGTCCTTTATTTCTACTCCAATAAATCTTACCACTACACCTCATCCTCCCATTCATGGGTCCCCAAAATGCTTTTCTTGCAACTCGGTGGAAGAACCCCATTTCCACTGGCAACAAAAACACAAGAATGGAGAAAATAACTGTCACTGTAAAATTCTGTACCCAGCTCAACATCATCAAGAGAAAAAGTGAAATAAAGACATTCAAAAGGCCAAGACCAAGCTGACTAACAGGCATTTAGTAAAAGAACTACTTGAGAACATTCTTTATAAAGAAAGAAGCTGAACCCAAAAGTTTAAAAATGGGGTAAATGAAGAATGGTGTGCAAAGAAATTTGAAAAACATATTGATGAGTAAATATTCACTATTTTTATAGGCTTAAGGTGGCCTATACAAGGCAAAACTAAAGCATAAATAACTAACATGGGTGAGGGGGTGCGGGTTAAAAGAAAAACCATTCTAAAATCTGTCTTGTTCAGGAGGATGAGAATAATAATTAAGCTTAGACCAAGTTAAATGTGCCTGCTAAAATTTTAAGAGTAACCAAACTTCTGTCTTTCACCCTGGAATAAGAAAACTGGAAGAAATATAGCAGCCCCTCTTCCAATGAAAAAAAGCTGGATTTCAAATTCATGACTTTCTTTAAATGCATCATAGAACCAATTGGCTCAAAATCTTAAGAGAGGCAGGACCTTCAAGGAGAGGAAACAACCGCGTACTCATTTGAGGTATAGTGCAACTGGACTGATAAGAGGAGTTCAGCTATAATAACTGACAAATTGATCAAATTCTGATGTGGCTTGCTAAAGGAGCAGTGTAAAACCACCCAGGTGGGGGTGGCAGAAATTGGGGAAATCCCAACGGCTCTTCAGGATCTTCCTCCACCAATCCCACCAGGCACTCACAGAAAGAGCCCTTTGGATTGCCCATTGTGTTGCAGACCTGGAGGAAGAGAACTGCAGTTGTTCTTCAAGAGCAAGAAATTGACCCAGATCTTTATCTCCCTATCTCCACTAAAGAAAAGCTAGTATCAGTGAAAGCAAGTCCAATAATCTAGTCTATCCTCACTTAAAGCTTTCTTTGCCATTGGGAAAAGAAGCAGGCACCCTACTCCTGGGAGAGGAACGAGATTCCATCCTGAGCCCACCAAAAAGCCTGGGGAGGGGCAAGACCTTGGGACACTGTGGCACCTAAACCTGAGGTTTAATCAGAACAAAAGACCACACTCCACCACCACTCCCCATCTCCAAGCTAACCAACTTCCAGTAACAAGTAAATAGCAGAATACTACCAGTGGAGGATCAAAACAAGAAGACCCTCTTTAAGGCACAGTTCAAAAGGGAGACCTGAAACTCAGAATAAAATAAATCAACTCCTAGCCTAAGCACAAAGTATCTCCATGAGAATTTGAAGCCTGATGTATACTGAGGGTAACCACAGCAACAACAAAATTCAAACCTAGCCCAACTCTTAACTAAATTAATTCAAAGCATTGCAGTAAAGGCCTAGTAGGAAAGATATGCCCATTTACAGACATAAAAATAATGTGCATTAGTCTCTAATGTTCTGCAAAATAGGTCAGGCTTGCAACAAAAACATCACAAGGTATAAGAAAAGGCAAAGAAAAACACAATACTCAAAAGACAAAGAATATACCAGAACTAGACACAGAATCAGATGTTGAAAATATCAAGAATGAAACTTTAAATACTATGAGTAACATATTTAGGGCTCTAACCCAAAAGGAGAACAACATACAAAACCAGATGGATAATTCAGCAGAGAGATGGAAATTATAAGAAAGAATGAAATGAAAGTACTAAAAATGAAAAGCATTGTTAAGAGAAATGAGAGTGCCTTCAATGGACTCTTCAGTAGACTCAACTCAGCCAAGAAAAGAAGACAGGTCGACAGAAATTACTCCAACCAAAACACTGAGAGAAAACAATAGAACAGAACAGAACATTCAAGAGCTGTGGGACAATATCAAAGGTTCTAATATACTCGTAACTGGAATCACAGAAATAAGAGAATGGAACAAAAAATATTTGAAGAGGTATCAGCTGAAAATATTCCAAAATTAATATAAGACATCTAACCACAAATCCCAATGATCAGAGAACAGGAAGACAGATTTACCAAAAAAAAAAGTATTGCCACCACTCAGCACCAATACCACTTGAGAATGAATTCCGTAAGCTCGGCCACTGCCATGCCTTATAAAACAAACACACATTGCCTGGCCAGCGTTTCTCAGTGGTTAAGCGTTGACCTATGAACCAGGAGATCATGGTTTGATTACCAGTCAGGGCACATCCCCAGTATGTAGGTAGGTGGGTTGTGGACTCCATCCCCAGTAGGGGGCATGCAGGAGGCAGCTGATAGATGATTCTCTCTCATCATTGATGTTTCTGTCTCTCTTCCTCTCTGAAATCAATAAAAATATATTTAAAAAACACACCTGTCAATATGATCACCAGGTCATCAATTCAATTATAATTATACATGATGTCTACCTCACAATGCTCACCTCTACATACAAGTCTCACTCTGTATAAATGACTGGTCAAACCTAGATCACAAGACTTTATCTTAGCTGTAAAAAAGATTGTGGATGTGAGTTTCCTGGGAAAGTAGGACCCATAATATGAGAAATTACCAAAACATAGGGTATTTAATCGTCTACTACCCATGATAAAAAACAAACAACAACAACAAAACTTTCCATCTAATCAGCTATTACTGTACAGGAAACTCTCTGGTGAAGACATTGCATCCCTGGAGGACCTTTCTGTAAGACAAATATTTTACCTCAATGTAGTAACACCCTTAAAAGCAGCTTCCCAATCCGAGGGACATAAGCAGTAATGTGGGGTGTGTAAAGCAACAGGATAAGTAAGCAAACATCTTCATAGAATGTCTACTTTGTTTAATGGCAAGTAATATACAATGCAGATATATATATAAACACATATGCATGCACACACAGAGTTTATTATGGAATAGAGCTCATAACTTCAATGAATTCATGCAATAAATTATGAAAAAACTCAAAGAAATGTCACCCTTATAGGTGTCAACTTTGGCCTCCCCTTCGTCTGCCATACTGTAAGCATTGGTAGAAGTTTCAGGAGCCCCACAGTGAGCCATTAGCAACTTTGTATGCTTAGCACAGTCATACAGTAATGTGGACCCAATTATAACACAGTTATGCCTGGTGACTAGATATAGGGCAAGCATGTATATAAGGTGATTAGAGAGAAAGATCCACTAGGTAGGTAGGTACCTGACAGAGAAGAAAAGCCACTGAACAAGGAAGAAGGCACTGACATGAGATGGAAAGGGGGCAAAAGGAGACACCTTTCATAGGAGAAACATTTATTGAGCATTTCCTAAGGGCCAGGAAATGTGCTGGATGCTGAGGCAACAGTCAACACTCTATGCCTCCATGGAGCTTGCAGTAGAAAAACATTACCATCTGCTTATCCATTTTTCCAGAGGCCTACCCCCTATTTAAATTCCTGGCCTATTTCCTTCCTATACTCTCAGGTAA